CTCTCTCTCTCTCTCTCTCTCTCTCTCTCTCTCTCTCTCTCTCTCTCTCTCTCTCTCTCTCTCTCTCTCTCTCTCTCTCTTGCCCCGCCCTCTGTTTCCAGCCCACAAGTATGTCACCATCAACCCCCCCGCCCCCCCTCTACTCCTACCCCCCGGTCATTCATTGCTTTCCTACGTACCCCCTCCATCCTCCTTTCAAACCCTTCGTCATTTCGTTTCCTTTTATAAAGGGGACCAAGGGGTGTTGATAAAATAACCATTCAACAGCTTCACATTCTAAAGGAGTCCTTGCTGGCTTCCAGGCCTCAATGCACACCTTCTCTCCCCCACTTTTGAAGTTCCTCTCTTGCGTATCTCACCATTTTGTAAAGAATGTTATCGTTTTGAAGAATAACCACCCTCAACTTGCATAACAGGCACTGTGCGAAGTCGCAGTCATCTGGGAGGGACCATGTGACCACGGCTCCAGCTGGAGCATGAATAATTTGGGTGGTCTGAGCTTCGCTGTTACAAACTACACAATTACACTGAAGCAGAGAAAATGCAACTTCGTCAAAACGGACATATTTTATTTTTTTGAACAATATTGAAATTTGAAACCTCATAAATTGGCCCAATTTAGGTCGATGTTTTAAGCTCCCGGGGGCCCAGTGTTCTGAAAACGCCGTACCTCCTGGATGCCAGCTAAGTCCAGACCCAGGGGGTACAGCGTTCCTGAGGGTATGACGTTCTGAAAACGCCGTACCCTCTGGATGCCAGCTAAGTCCAGATACATCCAGGGGATACGGCGTTATCAGAACGCCGTACCCCCCCTGGACTCCAGCTAAGACCAGATACATGCAGAGGGTCCGGTGTTTTGAGGACACCGGACCCCCAAGAGCTTAAAATTTAAATCAGGTCAATTTATGCGGTTTGAATTTCGTTCAAAAAATAACATATGTCCGTTTTTACGAAATTGCTGTTAAGGACCCGTTTGCACTGGCATTCTGCTCAGTACAGTAGTCTTCCTTCCCTCCGCCCCGCCCGGCCTGGTAAATACACTTTGGACGAAACCCGTTCAGCCATGTTGGCCATCCATCCACTCAGCTCACAGGAAGACACCACGTGGCAGTGGACTAAACACCCAAGCAAACTCAATTGCCAATCCAACATCGGCAATCACAAACAGAGACATCATGTGGGTGTGCTGAGCTGTGCTTCTTGAAACCACGCATCTGTTCTTCACTCTCAAAGGCACTTTCGATACTTGTGCGCCGAGCTTGCACAAGCTAGCTCCCACATGCCAAAGGACAGAAGCATGCACATCGTGGTTACAGATGTGCATCACATGTTGAGCCCTTCTCTATGTATTGCATAGGCGTCGCGTCTGCCACATCATGCTTGCCGTATTGCTCCTTTAGGGCAGATACAGCGCACACCATGAAAGACTGGCAAGGGTGCATATCAACGCCCTACGAGACAAATGAATCTTACAGAATCAGAATATAGAAAAGGGCCAACATACTTGCGTGACGATAATCAGAGTCGAGGTTCTGTACCCTCTACAAGGCAACTGTTCGGACCATGGTCAGGACTGTGTGTAAGATATGCGCTGAGCCGGCCTTTGAATTTGAGATGGGGAAAACTCCGGAAAAAAAAACTTACCTCAGGTCTGTCATTTGCTGCGCAAAGTCATCGGCGTCCAATCTTGCTTTCGCCTTCTCCTCCCTTAGCTCTGCCTCCAGCTCAGCAATTCGGTGTTCTTGGTCCTTCAGAACGCGATGAAGAGAATCCACCTCCTGCTCCCACACCCTCTCATCTTCTGTGAATGCAGCACTCGGTGCCACAACTTTGACTTTTTCCTCCCTGAGCTCTTCTTCCAGAATTACAATTCTTTCACCCCGGTCCCTCAGGGCTGATTCTAGAGCCTGAGCTTCTTCCTGCCACTTTGTTTTGCTCCTCTCAGCTTCCTCTAGCCTTGCCCGCAGCTGAGCCTCCTCCTCAGGTCCAACATCATTCAATGACTCCTCTCCGAGCTCTAACAGTGCCTGCACTCTGCCATACATGTCCTTTGGTGTCCGGGGTGTCGTCGACTCCAGATGCGTCCAATGCTCGGGCCACACATCAGCTTCAACTGCTTTGTCCTCATAGCTGTCCACCAAGCCAACAACATTCCCTGATTAATAATGAGGATCTCCCCACCGTTTCCTGATCTTCAAGCTCAAGATACTAACAACTATTCATATACAACTTATACATAACTAGTCCTTGTGGTTTTCCTACGTGCAAAGACAGTCCATGATTACCAGGAGGGGGGTTGCCATCATGGTATAACCCCCAAGCTCACAATATCATAATTATCATCATCATTATCAATTTGTCATTGTTGGTGCCACGTGGAGGCTGTTGTAGTTCTCTTCTGCTTGAAGGAGAGGCAGAGCGTGTGCTCCATGAGGGCAGACCTGTAGGCAAGGAATGGACTACTCTCTCTGTCTCTCTCTCTCTCTCTCTCTCTCTGTGTGTGTGTGTGTGTGTGTGTTTGTGTGTGTGTGTGTGTGTGTCTTTCTCTGTCTCTGTCTCT